TGTTGTGGTTTCTCCTCTGATCTCGATCTAACTCAGTAATGATCTGAAAGTATTGCTGATGCTGAAATGCGGTTATAACTGTGTCTGGATATCAGTATTTCCATTGGTGTCTATCCCTTCATGTGATTTTCTGGAAACAGAGGCTGTTATGAATTGACACAAATGTAAACTTGAAGTTATATTCAGGGAAATTTACAGTGTTGAGTTGCAGTAACAGTATTGATAATTAAACCAGTTTTAATTTTAGAGTATTTCAAAGTTATGTATATTATTGTTTGTGTGCTGAAGGCGCAGTGAAGAATTAAAAAATGACAGATTTTGTTGCTGCTGTGTACTGTTACAGAATGCATGAGGAGTAAATCTGAGACGCTTGTCTGACTTTCAATAAATTCATGTTGTTATTCATTTTGTATAAGACTTTCTCCCTAAATGCATAATGCTTCTTAAAACCCAACGCAAAAATCTGCCCCAATTACAACATATCTTTAGAAACATATTAGAGTTTTAAGATTTGGTAACATGAGGAGTGAGATTTCTTTGGTGGAGTTTGTAAACTTACTTACTTATGTTGGAGTCCTAATCCAAAGAATAACAAATTATAATCATATGTTACCGAATTTATGGTACCACGTGAAAATTTTTATTATAAAATATCTGCCAGGTAGATGCACAGCTAAGAACATACACGCTAAGATAATCAACAAAGCAACCAGCTAAACGATAACTTTTATATACAGGTAAAGTAGCCTATTAATAATATAGTAGATACAGGTGTGGTTTGTGTTCAGCATGATACAGTGCAGCCTTCTTAGCTTCACCTATTCGATGTTTGACCAAGATATTATGTAAATGCATATTGCACAAACTGTATATTACTACTGTATAAATAATGTGTACTGTAGGTGTCTTAAGAGTGTACGACTGTCCTTAATTAGATGCCTTATATGTAAAGGCAGGTTTGCCTAGAAGAGATACTAGTCATGTTTTAAACGTTCATCCTTATTAGCATCCATTCTAAATCAGTAGTGAGGTAAGTTAGCGGTCTGGAGACACCCAATATCTTCTCAAATCTCTATTTAAAATCATAAAAGCTTAAAATTAAAATTATAGTAATTGAATAGTTGTAAAAAGTACGTATTAAAATGGGTCCTAACAAAAAATCAAACCATGTATGTCGTTAGGAGTTAATGTCAAATTCAATCAGATGTTAAATCATTGAATTAGTGTGTTGCCTGGTTGGGAGTTGATTAAACCCAAAATTTTCAAAAATGTTAAGCAGTGCATTAATCAAAAAAACACTCCACATCAAAGAAACTATAAGTACCAAAAACCTTGATTTTATAAAAGGATATATACATTTTTTTTTCACTATGTATTTAATCATACAGTGGCCAGACATTTTTTCATAAAATATAATTGAAAAAAACCAAAACATTTTTCAAATTCATCTGTGTAAACTCAAGACCCAGATTTTCTTGTTAAAAATTTCCAGTAAAAAAACGAGCACGGGATCTAACTGGTTTCCCATACCAGGCTGAATTAAATGTGAAAAGAAAATATAAAAAACTGTTTCCATTTACTTACCACATCCCTCATTGGCTGTTCAGCGAATAAAGAAATGTTCACGCCTATTAGAGAGATTCTCTTGGAAGAAAGAAGCCTCTGCATTCCGTCCATTCTCTTCTCGTGACCTTTCACCGGCCGTCAACCTCTGCAGCTACTTGCTGTCGTGCTAGTTGATAAACACTCAGTGTCGACATCTTTAAGTTAGCTTCGCTGGCCTTGAACTTTGATACAGATTTCACCACTTCTGAGATATTGACACGAAAGAAGGACACATGAACAAGAGATGCGGGCCGTTAAGTGAACGTTTATGGTGAGTAACACATGGATATTGCTCGCTTGCTCGCTTTGTCAAACAGCTGCGCTAATTCGAGCTAAGCTAACTGACATATTCAGCTTCATTCTGTGCATTGTTGTGTCATTGTGGGCGAAGAAGCTTTAGGTCACTATCCAAAAAAAGCAAACGTCAGTTTTGCTGGCTAGTTTGCCAGGGCAGGTGCCTCAGGCAAGCAGCTTGTTATCGTCCTTTCTACTTTAATTTGCTACAAGAAGATGCAAAGTATAAGAAGACATTTTACTATCTACATTAAGGGTGACACCGTTTTAAAAAACAATATACGTGAATTAAAAATAACACCCTGATGATTTACTCGCAGTATTGTTTGCTGTATTCTAATGCAAAACAGTTATTGCTAACTAACAATCAGAACATGTCACAAAGGTAAAAATCTCAACATTCACATTAAGAAACGGTTAGGCTTTTGTCCAAGGCAATTTCTATGGAAGCAAAAACCAATAGACTGTAAGGATTTGCCTCTTTTATATATATATATTATATATTTAACCGCTAGAAATCAGTACCACTTGATCGCAGCACCTGAAATTATTTTACTTTGACAAAACAATAAGAGGTGTTAAATTCTCCTAAAATTTTGATGTATATTTTTAATTATTTTAGGTTTATAAACAAATTTGAAGGTCTTCTGGATATAAAATAAAATGTGTTGTTGCTCAAATTGTATTGCGTTCAGCAATGTATTTTAGTTTTTCTTACTCTCTCCTACCAGAAAGTTCAGTATGTTCACGGGGCTACAGCAGGACAGTACTTTGGGGTACTTCATTATAGCAGTTGGCTCTGCTAAAATACAAATGGGGCATGAAATGAGATTAGAATATTCTTTTGCACTGCCTTGTGCGCACCAGACTTTGAGGTTTCATCTACTTCTTTTTCTGCAGCCTATTTTGCATCTCTCCCAATATATCTCTCCATCATGCGGGATTTCCAAAAGAACACCAAAACTAAGTGGACAGCTCTCAGACATCTCAGCCCCCATAGCACCCCTCTCATCTACAGCCACAACCAGACTTTTCACCTGTAGACCTTACACACTCATTTCTCACCTGCCAGCTCAGGGCAGTTTTTAGCTGCATTGTAAAGAGCTGCATGGGCTGCGGGCAGGTGGACTCAGCACTCTTCCGGCTGCAAGCCCCTAGAGAGGCTGCCTTTCTCCAGGTACTCAGGAGATTATAGTCTTCTTCAGAAGATCCTACCAGGCAGGACACCATCACTGACCCGGGACCTGCTGGAGTCCAGTATGTGGACTGCGTCAAAAATGAAGGATGATGGGTTAGCAATTGAATTCGGCTTCATTCATTCATTTCATCCATACTAAAGAATTGATGTCATTACATATTTCATTTCTTCTGCAGCGTTCCAGTGAACTGTTGTTGAGACCTCAGGACCAACAGAGGAAGTTTCCAGATTCTCAGTATATAACATGTGGGAAGAAGGACTTAGATATATAGATAGATACGAAACATAAGGCAAGTGTTCTAATAGTGTCTTTGTTTCCCCTCCTGTATAGCTACATTGTAAACAGTTCGCACACCTGGCCAGTGAATCCTCAAGGAAGGAAACACTGGGCTGGTTGGGGGCGTGTCCCAGCTACTATTGATGAAGATTCATCCTCTCCACTGCTCTTTATGAACACCCATAATTACCATTGATAGCATCTCTGGTAACTCTAAAAAATCCTTCAAGTTTCATCAAAATGAGCTGTATTGCGTATCAAAAAAACTACTAAACAGCATATTTGCAATCATTCTCAGAGATCCTCTTTCTCTGTTTTTTCAGTATTTCTCACCTGCCAGGCAGGCTCGGTTCTGCGAGAACTTGATTCTCTCTACCGGAGGAGAGAGGACTCACATCAATGCCACTGCGATCTTGGCAAAAGGCAGTTGCCCACAATTGTAGGCACGTGGCAACTAATGCAGGTCGCGTCTGCGACTGCTGCGACTATGAGCTCCTTACAGGACTGTTGCTGGGTCTGGAAGGGGTGAGTGGTGTAATAACTGAGGGACATTTATGATCTTCAATAAAAAGTATTGTATTAAAATCATGGAGAAAAAGTGTGCGATGGCACTGATTCCTGATTAGATAAAGGATAAAATCATGGATTTTATGTTTTATGTGTGTGACTTATTGCAGGTTGTTGGCAGCATGGGCGGGTGTGGACTGCTTGCCGCGCTTCGGAAAGATAATACCGGACTATTCTTCTTGGGTTAGTGTGCTTTTGTCTGTTTTCTACTTAGTAAACTTTCTATACAGCACACATATGCATATTCACATAGAGTATATAATGTGTATATACATATATATATATATATATATAAAACGTATATATATTGTTACTGTATATAATACAGTGATTTTATAGGCTACCGAGTCTTGACAAACATACTTGCAGAACATACACAGACTACATTCGGTACAACATGCTCAACAAATACACATACATATGAAAAAAAACAGTGATTTTTTTTTTTTTTTTGTCACCGCTTTCTTCTACTTCTAACCACCAAACCACTTCCTTCTAAACAGATATGTTAACCACCATTATCTTGTTTCAGTGAACGCACAACACATACAACACATGCAAAGAGACGTACGCAATAGATTGATGATTTTGTCAGTTCAGAGGAAGCTTACATATATAAAAAAAAAAGCAGAACTTGAGGCTTGTGCAACAGTGTGGTTATTTCCTACATTAGTTAGCAGCTTTTGCTCACTATGATGTCTGTGCATCTTTGTAACCTGAATGTGGGTTTCCCAAGAGGTGAAATGAGGTCATTTCTCTTTTATTCACAGTTCTGTCAGAGGTGATCCACCCATTTCTCTTCCTCTGGTGTCTGATCATGCATCATCTAGCCTGAAAAAGCAGTAGTTACGCACAGTCACTACTAGGAGGTTCAGGCAATGAAAATTTTGAAAAATAAAAACTTATTGAACTGTTTTTAAGAGTACAGCACAAGGCCACCGTTGATGATAAAAATCTCTGTCAGGTCCCTTTGAACTTCACAGGTTTTCTTTTGAAGGTATTTCTTGCTTTATTTGGAAATGGCATCTTTTTGATGTGTGATTTCCTGCTCCTTCACAGGCAAGAAGGTAACTGTGCGAGCCCCAGCGCCTGCGCTGGCCAGCCTGACCAAGCCCAAACAGTCATCCCAGTCCTTCCTCAGCAACAGTAAGAGGGGGGAAAGTGTGTCCAAGTTGAAGAAGGGTGCTGGTGCGTCCAACAGGAGGAGTGTGGGTGTTGTGCAGGAGAGGCCGCTCAGGGAGAGATTAACACACCTCCTGGCTCTGAGGCCGTACAAGAGGCCTGAGTTGATCCTGAGGCTGCAGAAAGACGGATTGTCAGCAGGAGACAAAGATATGCTGGACTCTGTACTGACGGAGGTGATTTTTTTTTCTGTTTTGCCCAGACAAATACAGGTATTGATTTTTTTTTTTCAGTTATGACACTAAATACCATTAAATTAAAGTTTTAGATAATTCCCAAATTCAAAGAATTATACAGACACACAGGGCTAGAACACTCACCCCAAAAGTGATTAAATGTATAAATGAACTGATGAACTCTAAACACAGAAAATAAGTCTTTTCTCACCTGTGTTTATTTTTGTATGTGTCTGTTTGCAGGTTGGACAGCTCAACAGCAGGGACAAAACATTTGTTCTGAAGGAGAGTCTATATAAGGACCTGCAGAAGGACTGGCCAGGCTATACCTCAGGAGACCAGCAGCTGCTTAAAAGAATCCTTGTCAGGTAACAGATGAGGACAGATGTGCCACTGTGTTCACACCATTAAAATGCACAAGATAGTTGGGGGGGGGGGGCTTTCGAAATGGCAACAGTATTATGCTAAAGATGTGTACAAATACAGCACATGAAGATCTTTTTCTGCAGCATCTCAAGAAATGCAAAAGATTAGGCAAATTATTTGGATGAATAGGAAAAGGATTGCCTTTTTATTTCTGTCTTTATATTTGGTATTTTAATGGGAATTGGCTTATATATTCCATTCACTCTCCAGCTCACTCATTTAAGTTTATCAGGCTGTTAAATCTTCACAAAGAAGAGCTTTTCAGGAAGTAAATACCGCTGCCTCGATCAGTTAGTTTTCGTGTGCTATTGTGTGTATTCAAGCAACCCCTGTGTTCTGTCAGGTAAAATGACGGATGTTTCTGGTTAAACAAAAAGGATCTTGCTCTTTAACAAAAAGGCATATCTCTGTAGGAATCCTATCCATAATGTCAGATGCTTATAATAACTATCAGAGCCTGTCAATGGCAAAACAAGCACTTTTAGTGGACTTACTTTGACATAAACAGCTGTCTTCTTGTGTATATTGCAACAGCTGTTATGGTTCCTGGGTATACACTGTTCTTGCTCAATACTGCACCGATTCCAAAGATTTTTGTCCCTATCAATCATTTACACCCAAAAACATGGGGAAAATAAGGTCCAGGTTAAAAAAATACCAAGTTATCCTTTAACCGCACCTGAGACACTAATGTAGGTGATCTGTCTTTCCTGCTTATTGTGTACATGAGCATGTCTTTAATTGCAGGGCCATTGCACTGCCATCGCAGTTGTGTTGTTCATTCTATAAAAAAAAACTATGGCGAAATACCAGTTGAGGTTTATGTACTATATCACTTTCTGTGCAGGAGACTGTTTCAGCCACAACAGAACCTCCTCACTGTCCCTGAGGCCCAGGTCAGCCCACTGCGAGACACCCCCAACTCCTCCCCAGCACATCGTCCAAAACATTCCTTGCCAGAGGAATACACTGACCCTCTGGCCAGTAAGAAGCCCAGGATATCCCATTTGTCTCGCAAAATGGCCAGTGACAAGTCAAGATTGAGACCATCTGAACAAGTGGCTCATAAAGACATCAGCGAAGTGAGAGCGGATGACGGCAAAAGGAATGCACTTGACCCTCGAAAGCTGTTGGACTCCCTGTCAGCAGTATGTCAGCAGGAAGAGGAGGTGGCTAAAAGGCTTGAGCCAACTCCATGTGCCCAGGAGGAGCCTGAAAGCCCAGATGACCATCTTCAGCCCGACTCTGATCGCCCTCCATCCCCTCTGATAGTGCCTGATCTGAGTAGACACACAACAAAAAGGAAGAAGAGCAAACACAAACACAGAGACCAGGTAAGTACATCAGGCCTGGAGGTGTGTGGCTTTTCCAGAGTTGTTTAAAATGTCGTTGCAATTAGTTTTTCTTTTGTTTGTCAAGGAGAAGGACAGGCGGAGAGAAAGTAAAGAAAGGAGAAAAGATCACAGTTCAGAGGATCCAAACAACAAAGTCTTGCTGGGCTGCCCAGGTGAGTGCTGTGAGCTTCTAACGTGATGTCAGTGCGTCAATATTTAAAAAAAAATAAAAATAAAAAATTGACATGCTTCCTTCTTTCTTTTAGAGCCAAGTGAAATTTTCTTTGATTCCAATGTGCTTCAAGTGGACAATGACACAGCAGATTATTTATTGTAAGTATAACTTTTATTGGTACATTGATACAAAATGTTTCCAAAGGTGGATTCAGCCATAGGAACTTTCCCCAGGGAACAGGAACCTCTTTTAGGAAGGAGTTTGCCTATCAGCGTTTCCACCGGAGGAACAAGGGTCTAAATTAAGTTCTCAGAAGATAGTTTTACCTCTCAAAAAGTCCCTGCACACGGGGTAGTACTTTCCGAAGGTTCAGGAACTTTCAGAGTGGGACTTGCAGGGTTGAACATTGCTGATTGGTCAAGTACAGTACTATTCTCCACAGCACATGTTTTACATTGTTTTGCTTGTAGTTTGTGGCAGATAATATTCAGGATGCAGCCTGAGAGATTTTATGACCAACAGACAACAAAGTCCAGGCTTCGTTGTCCAGGCACAAATGACGTGAAAGGCAACCATCACACTTTTGATACATCAGCAGAATAAATTGTTTAGTCTTCCTGTGGCTTTCAATCACAATGCCACAGAGGAACGTTTACCCCTTGGAAAGTTCTTTGGAAATGAAAAGAAAGTTGGTGGAAAAGAATGTAGTGTCTGCAAAGTCTTGTGGTAGCTTTTTTCTGTAACGGATTGATAAAATACAACATCTTTAAAACGTGTGGGTTCAGATGTGCGTTTCTTTTCTTCACTTATCACCAAAAATCAAGCACTTTTCATGACAAACCTCTTGCAGGCTGCTAATGTCGTGGCTAAGATGTGACAGTAGTGTGTCTAAATTGTCTCTGCACAGGATGTACACAGTGATTTGCAGCCATGACCAGAGGCAGAGCTACAAACAGGATTTTAACAAGGAGTACAACGAGTACAGAGATTTACATGCTCGCATTGATGGTGTTACCCGGCAGTTCATGGAGCTGGACACACAGCTCAAACAGCTTCACCAGGAATCACGTAAATACAAGGTAATAATATTGTAGTCATTTTGCTAAGGTGTGGCTACATACACTGATATCTGTGTCATGTGGGCATCAAGAAAATAATTTTCTTGCAAACTTTAACAAACTAACTTCATTGTGGTTCCTGTATTTCTCTCTTGCAGACGGTTCGTAATCAAATTCTTCAAGAGTATCGCAAAATTAAAAAGGTAACGACTGTCTGAAAACTTGCCAATATTTATCACGAGATTGCTGCATGTGACATCTACTCCCCTATTTTTCTATTGCATGATAAATTTTTTCTTGATTTTTCCCTGTAGTCCAACCCCAACTACAACCAGGACAAGATTCGCTGTGAATATCTGCACAACAAACTGGCCCACATCAAGAAACTCATATCAGAGTACGACCAACAGCAGCTCAGTGTGGAGCGTTCTTGTCCTAACTGATGACTGACTCCGAGACAAGTGAACTTAGAGATCATAACAAACACCCTGAGCCAAGGGAGGTTCACGCTGCTGACCTAAATGCCATTGGATGGAATCGGATGGTCGTGGCTAAATGTAGTCTCTCAAGACCTGCTGAAGATGCCAGTGAGGTTGGGAGTTGTTTGTTACGAGCAGCAGTTGGAAGTTGAGTGAACAGCTCTATGATATGAGATCTTGGTTTAGAAGATGAGACATCTTCTTTGAAAAATGGTTTGACCAGTGAGCTGCTACTGCAGTGACATGATACTGCCAAGGACACAAGTAGTAACAATAGTTTTACTAAAGGTCTGAAAGCTGAAACTGAGCTCTTACTCTTTAAAATGAAAACGGTTACATGTGGAGAGATGGTGCTAAGCCTGAAAACACCTGTAGATTCCCTTCCCCGTTACACATTTTAGTTCTTTTGTGAATGAAATGTAAACATCAATTTGGATATTTGCTTATGTGTTCTGTTAGCCATGTCAATGTTCACATTTTGTGCTGGAATATGAGATCACTGCACACTGTATATACCCAGACAGCTCATAAGAATGGAAGGTTAAGGTTTCTGGCAGCTGGGATGCAGATGTGCACAACTGTCCTTCAGTATTCTGTCCTTCAGAGACTGTATCAGTGTTGTTGTCGGTTCTCCTCTGATCTGATCTACTCAGTAATGACTCCTGAAAGTATTGCTGATGCCTGAAATGGTTACTAACTGTGGTCTGGATTCATAGTATTCCATTGGTGTTATCCCTCATGTGATTTTCCTGGAACACAGAAGGCTGTTATGTTGAACACAATGTGAACTTGAAGTTATATTCAGGGAATTTACAGTGTGAGTTGCAGTAAAAGTATGATAATTAAAACCAGTTTTAATTTTAGAGTATTCAAAGTTATGTTATTATTGTTTGTGTAGGCTGAGGCGGTGAAGAATTAAAAAATGAACAGATTTTGTTGCATGCTGTGTACTTTACAGAATGCATGAGGAGTAAATCTGAGACGTTGTCTGACTTTCAAATAAATTCATTTGTTATTCATTTTGTATAAACTTTCCCCTAATGCATAATGCTTCTTACAAACCCAACCAAAAATCTTGCACCAATTACAAATACCTTAAAGTTAGAAAATATAAGTAAAGAATGTTGTAAATGAACAGAAACAGTTGAGATGTTTTAATTTGGTGGATTAAATCTTCATTTATTCTTGTTGAGCTCCATATCCAAATAACAAATTATATCATGTACCATAATTTATGGTACCACTGAAAATTTTTATTATAAAATAATTCTGCCAGGTAGATGCACAGTAGACATACAGCTAAGATAAATCAACAAAGACAACCAGCATAAACGTATAACTTTTATATACAGGTAAGTAGCTATAATATATAGTAGATACAGGTGGTTTGTGTTCAGCATGTACAGTGCAGCCTTCTTAGCTTCACCTTTGATTGCTTGACCAGATATTATGTAAATGCTATTGCACAACCTGTATATTACCTTGTATATAATGTGTACTGTAGGTGTCTTAAGAGTGTTACGACTGCTCTTAATTAGTGCTTTATGTAAGGCAGGTTTGCTAGAAGAGTCTGTCTGTTAAAGTTCATCTTATTAGCATCCATTCTAAATCAGTAGGTGAGGTAAGTTAGCGGTCTGAGACACCAATATCTCAAATCTCTATTTAATCATAAAAGCTTAAAATTAAAATATAAGTAATGAATAGTTGTAAAAAGTACCGTATTAAGAATGGGTGTCCTAAAAAATCAAACATGTATGTCTGTTAGGGTTAATGTCAAATTCAATCAGATGTTAATCATTGATTCAGTGTGTTGCCTGTTTGGGGGTGATTAAACCAAAATTTCAAAAATGTTAAGCAGTGCATTTATCAAAAAAACACCTCCACATCAAAGGAATATAAGTACCAAAACTGATTTTAAAAAGGATATATACATTTTTTCACTATGTATTTAATCATACAGTGGCCAGACATTTTTCATAAATATAATTGAAAAAAACCAAAACATTTTTCAAATTATCTGTAAACTCAAGACCCAGTTTTGTTAAAACTATTCCAAGTAAAAAAACGAGCACGGATTAACTGGTTTCCATACCAGGCTGATTAATGTGAAAAGATTAAAAAACTGTTTTCTTTACTTACCACATCCGTCATTGGCTGTTCAGCGATAAAGAATGGTTCACGCCTATTGGTTCAATCTGAAAGAAAGAAGCCCTCTGATTCGTCCATTCTCTTCTCGGTGACCTTTCACCGCCGTCAACCTCTGCAGCTACTTGCTGTCGTGCTAGTTGTAAACACTCAGTGTGACATCTTTAAGTAGCTTCGCTGGCCTTGAACTTTGTGACAGATTTCACACTCTGAGATATGACATGAAAGAAAGACACATGAACAGAGAGATGCGGGCCGTTAAGTGAACGTTTATGGTGAGTAACAATGGATATTTGCTCGCTTGCTCCTTGTCAAACAGTGCGCTAATCGAGCTAAGCTAACTGACATTTCAGCTTCTTCTGTGGCATGTTGTTCATTGTGGGCGAAGAAGCTTTAGGTCATATCCCAAAAGCAACGTCAGTTTGCTGGTAGTTTGCCAGGGCAGTGCCTCAGGCAAGCAGCTTGTTATCGTCCTTTCTACTTTAATTGCTACAAGAAGATGCAGAAAGTATAAGAAGACATTTCTATCTACATTAAGTGGTGACCGTTTTAAATAAAACAATATACGTGAATTAAAAATAACACCTGATGTTACTGAGTATTGGTTTGTGTTTCTAATGCAAAAACAGTATTGTAACTAACAATCAGAACATGTCACAAAGGTAAAAATCTCACATTCACATTAAGAAAGGTTAGCTTTTTGTCCAGGCATTTCTATGGAAGCAAAAACAAAGCTGTAAGGATTTGCCTCTTTTATATATATATATTTATATTTAACGCTAGAAATCAGTACCACTTGATCTGCAGCACTGAAATATTTTACTTTGACAAAACAATAAGAGGGGTTAAATTCTCCTAAAATTTTGATGTATATTTTAATTATTTTAGGTTTCATAAACAAATTGAAGGTCTCTGATATAAATAAAATGTGGTTGCTCAAATTGTATTGGTCGCAATGTTTTCTAGTTTTCTTACTCTCTCCTACCAGAAAGTTTCAGTATGTTCACGGCTACAGCAGGACAGTACTTTGAGGGTACTTCATTATAGCAGTGGCTTGCTAAATACAAAGTGGGGGCATGAAAATGAGAATTAGAATATCTTTTGCACTGCCTTGTGGCACCAGACTTGAGTTTCATCCTACTTCTTTTCTGCAGCCTATTTTGCCATCTCTCCCAATTATCTCTCCATCATGGCGGGGATTTTCCAAAGAACACCAAAACTGTGGACAGCTCTCAGACATCTCAGCCCCCATAGCACCCTCTCATCTACAGCCACAACCAGACTTTCACCTGTAGACCTACACACTCCATTTCTCACCTGCAGCTCAGGGCAGTTTTTAGCTGCCACTTGTAAGCTGCATGGGGCTGGGGCAGGTGGACTCAAGCCATCTCCGGCTGCAGCCCCAGAGAGGCTGCCTTTCTCCAGAGTTACTCAGGAAGATTTAGTCTTCTTCAGGAAGATCCTACCAGGCAGGACCATCACTGACCCGGACCTGCTGGAGTCCAGTAATGTGGACTGGCTCAAAACAGTGAGAGGTGATGGGTAGAATTGAATTCGGCTCATTCATTCATTTCATCATACTAAAGAATTGATGTATTACATATTTCATTTCTTCTGCAGGTTCCAGTGAACTGTTGTTGAGACCTCAGACAACAGAGGAAGTTTCTCAGATTCTCAGGTATATAACATGATGGGAAGAAGACTAGATAGATAGATAGAAACATAAGGCAAGTGTTTTAAAGTGTTTTGTTTCCCCTCCTGTAGCTACTGTAACAGTCGCAACCTGGCAGTGAATCCTCAAGGAGGAAACACTGGGCTGGTTGGGGGCAGTGTCCCAGTCTATGATGAGATCATCCTCTCCACTGCTCTTATGAACAACATACTTACCTTTGATAGCATCTCTGGTAACTCTAAAAATCCTCAAGTTTCAATCAAAATGAGCTGTTTGCGTATCAAAAAACTACTAACAGCATATTTGAATCATTCTCAGAGATCCTCTTTCTCTGTTTTTCAGGTATTCTCACCTGCCAGGCAGGCTGTGTTCTGGAGAACTTGTCTCTCTACCTGGAGGAGAGAGACTACATCATGCCACTGGATCTTGGGGCAAAAGGCAGTTGCCAAATTGGTGGCAACGTGGCAACTAATGCAGGTGGTCTGCGACTGCTGCGATATGGCTCCTTACACGGGACTGTGCTGGGTCTGGAAGTGGTGAGTGGTGTAAATAACTGAGGGACATTTATGATCTTCAATAAAAAGTATTGTATTAAAATCATGGAGAAAAAGTGTGCGATGGCCTGATTCTGATTAGATAAAGGATAAAATCATGGATTTTATGTTTATGTGTGTGACTTATGCAGGTGTTGGCAGATGGGCGGGTGCTGGACTGCTTGGCCGCGCTTCGGAAAGATAATACCGGATATGACCTCAAACAGTTGTTTATAGGGTCAGAGGGTACACTGGGGGTCATTACAGCAGTGTCTGTCCTTTGTCCACGGAAACCTAAATCTGTCAACGTGGTTTTCTTGGGTAGGATTTTCTCGTAGCCTCTCAGATCTGAGGGCGGAAACAGTGTACTAAACAATGTAATGAAGTTCTTTGAAATCTAGATGAGTTTGTTCTTATAGATTGGCAGCTAAATTGCACTAGTTGATCATGCAGTTATCTGTGTTTGTGTTATTAGGCTGTGAGACCTTTGAGCAACTGCTGCGGACATTTCAGCTCTGCAAAGGCATGCTGGGAGAAATCCTGTCAGCCTTCGAGTTCCTGGACAGTGAATGTATGAGACTGCTGAACACGCACCTCAAACTATCCAATCCCATTTCTGGTAGGTACACACATGTGCGCACCTTATTTCACATTTAACAGCAGTAGCTGTAAGCACATACAGTGTAAGGGCATTTTTAAGTGTCTATTATTTATTAAGTATTTGTTAACAACTGTAACTCCTCCTATGATACATCCATTACTGGTGATTAAGCAGATAATGAATGATTGATTACACGGATTAATAAATCCTGACAGTGTTATGAGGCATTTATTAACTGTTTATATACATGTACAGATCATTCATGGCAGGTTTAAAACTATTTATCATTGTGTTCAAAGATGCAGTCTTAACACTGAAAAAAGGGGTGTGACAAAAAAGTCTTCACTCAAGGTCAATTTACTAGATTTCTTCTCAGAGTTTTCAGCCACATCTTTTGTCCTTGATCAGCTAAAGCTGTCACAGACTCTTCATTAATCAATGTATGATATAAATGTAATTATGCAATGAATATTACACAGTTACCAAACTTAATGTATGTCATATTCATATAAAAAACGTGTGATGACAATTGTGCTCCAGTGTACAGTCAATCATTACACATCAGTTACGAATGCTTCACATGAATGGGTTATAGTTAAATACTTATGTTTGCTTTGCTTATAACTTCATTGTAATGTGTTACAAATCATATATTTTAGTTTATTATGTATTACTTATACATGCTAACACACGCTAACCGCCTTCTCTCCATCCTGCAGAGTGCCCATTCTATGTCGTCATAGAAACATCTGGATCTGACCCGACACATGATGGAGAGAAACTCCACAACTTTTTAGAGGAGGCGATGACATCATCATTGGTCACTGACGGAACTGTAGCAACTGAGGAGTCAAAAATAAAGGTATCTCGACTTCTAGTGTCTTTCCTGCCAACTTATTCAAAACTGCCTACGGGTAGTTCCCACAACAGTAGGTGTTGCAGCTTGTGCAATCAACTTTTCTGTTTCCAACTGCTCAGACTCTTTGGTCAATGCGTGAACGTGTCACGGAGGCGCTGACTCACGATGGCTTCACGTACAAGTATGACATCTCACTTCCAGTGGAGCGGATCTACCAGCTGGTGACAGACATGAGGCAGCACCTGGGGGACCGGGCCAGGAGTGTGGTGGGATATGGACACGTAGGTAAGACCAGCAGATGGAAAGAAATTTGAATAGTCTGTATATCAGGAGGGGGAATAGTGGCGTGGGAGAATGAGGTATTTCTTATTTTCATTTCACTTGTACCATTCACCCCACCCACACCCAATATCTCACAATCTCTCTGTAGGCGATGGTAACCTCCATCTAAACATCACCTCTCCTGCCAAAGACCCTTCTCTCCTCGCTGCCATCGAGCCGTTCATCTACGAGTGGACGGCCAGCTGTCAGGGCAGCATCAGTGCTGAGCATGGACTGGGCCTGAAGAAGAGGAACTACATCTACTACAGTAAACCCAGCCAGGCTGTGGCTCTGATGGGTAACATCAAGGCCATGCTGGATCCCAAAGGCATTCTCAACCCATATAAGACTTTACCAGACAACCTTAAATGACCCCAACTGTCTCACTGCTGTGGGGTAGGTGGTAATGCATGTAGAGCTTATGCAGGAGCTCTAACTACAGCCTGATTGCCACATGGTTTTTATGCCAGATCATGCTCCTTCTTGTGACACCTTTTTCACACATTTAATGCAGAGTTGCAGGTTTTGCACAAGTGGCATTCGCCACCAAGTAGTATCTGTTTGTTATACATGTCCACAGAAGAAAGTAATTTCATTTTCATGTTCACAAAGCATTACTCTCAGAACGACATAGTCAATAACTTGCTGACTTTGTAGGAGGCTCTGAACTTAAAATGTTCCAATTGAAGTTACTACTTAACATGATCAACTACCTCTGCAAGTCACAGAGTAGCCTTTAGATCTTAAATTAAGGACACTTTGTATCATAGATGAAAAGCTATATTACTAAGTGATCATAATATACTATAAACTCTTGAGCATTGTAAAATTGTGTAATTATTTAAGGTAACAGTCTATAACTGGTGGACAACTCTGTTTTTCACAGTCGACATGTTCAGTTCTTAAACTGCAGCCATTGTATTAGAGCATTTGTGTACGAACAATAAAATTAAAATTTACTACATGAGGACTCCTGATACCTATGTGTGAGGAAATGTGTTGCTCAACGGCCCCAGTTTGAAGCTTTAAAGGATAGGTTCACAATTTTTCAAATCTGTCTTAAAACAGTAGTGAGGTGCCCACATGAACACTGAAATGGGTTTTGCTCACTGTAATTCTTCCTCCTGTACATACTGGCCATTTAAAGCTCTGATGAGCTTTCTGTGTAAATGAAAGGACAAAATTCACAGTTGTCATTCAGAGTAAAAATACATTCAAAAGTTTATCTGAAGTTATAATGATGCTTTAACAGACTGGGTTAGGCAAATCAAATGTATTGCTTTCAAAGGCTATAGTCTTTTATGTAGAAATTTCAGCCTTTTAGGTACAAGCCCTCCACTGCAGCTGAGCAAGGAAACAAAGTGTAATTTGTGCCGAAGACTTTGACTTTTGAGCAAGGTTGTAGGTTTGGTCCCAACATTGGTAGGGAAGCAAAAACACCACCACCCCTCCAAAAAAAAGAGATTGGCTTTTTAATGCTGTCAACCAAACAGTTTAATAAGATATATAATCTGAATTTACATTCAGGAATGCCCATACACAAATTTTATATAAAGACGTGTTGAATTTCTATATTTGAAATGTAAGGCATAAAAATGTCATAGTGTAGTAAGGCATAAAAAGTCATAGTATAGTAGGGCATAAAAATGTCATAGTATAGCAAGGCATAAAAAAGTTATAGTATAGTAAGGCATAAAAAAGTCATGTAGTAAGGCATAAAAAGTCAAAGATGTCATAATGTAGTAAGGCATAAAAAGTCATAGTACAGTAAGGCATAAAAAGTCAGAGCAAGTCATAAAAAAGTCAATAGGCAGTATCATGAAAGCTACCTGTCCTATGGCTGGACTGGGGATGTTAAAAACCTCAGCCGGAGTCTGCAAGCACCAACAGGCACATGTGTCTCACTAGCTTGTAAGTATCAAAATATTTACAATCACAAATGTAAGTAACATGTACATGTACTAAGTGTTTTATTTTCAACTCAATGTTAATTGTGTTAACTATGGTTGTTTTCACTGTTTGCATGCATGTCAAAAAATGTCATTCTCAATGTATCTCTTTTTTCTTAGACTAAAGTTGTTTTACAACTCCATGCATACTGTTTCTGTATTTACTGTTTATATGAAAATTCGTTTTCAGTGTCAGTGCATGTCTCTTGGTCTGTAATGGGTAATTAGGGGTAGATCTACCCGTCCTCTCTCTCTCTCTCTCTCTCTCTCTCTCTGATTTGTTGCCCCTTTTTTATCATTTTGAAAAGTTTAAAATTAGTTATTTTGTTAATAAAAATTGTCATGATTAGTTTCTCAAATTTTATTTGTCATTTTAAGATAAGAATAAAGGTTTACAGATTGATATGAGTAATAACAAGGGTTATAGAGACTGTTTTGAACAAATAAGAATACATGTATGCCTTGAGATTTTGGCCTGCCCTTAGGTGTGACTTGGGCAGAAAAAGTTTGAAAAGTACTGCAGTAAGGTAGAAAAATGTCATAGTATGGTAAGGCATAACAAATCATAGTATAAGATGGCATAAAAAAAGTCATTGAATAATAAGGCATGAAAATGACATAGTATAGTAAGGCATAAAAAGTCATAAAAACGTCATAGTATAGTAAGACATAAAAAGTCATAAAAACGTCATAGAATATAAAGGCATAAAAGGTCATAAAAATTCATAGTATGATAAGAAATAAAACAACATGGTAAAAATAGTTAGGCACAAAAATGCCAAAAAACGTCAGGTATAGTATGAAATAAAAATATCAAAAAACGTCATAGTATAATAAGAAAAAATAAGTCATGAAAACGTCATAGTATAGTAAGTCATAAATAGTCATGAAAATGTCATAGTATAGTAAGGCATAAAAAGTCATGAAAAAGTCATGGTATAGAAAGGCATAAAAATATCAAAAAACGTCATGGAATAGTATGGTATAAAAGGTCAAAAAAACATCACAGTATATTAAGGCATAAAAGGTGATAAAAACATCATAGTATGGTAAGACATCAAATGAAATAGTATAGTATGGCACAAATATGTTAAAAAAAACATCATAGTATAGTATGGCATGAAAATATCAAAAAACATCATAGTATATCAAGGCATAAAAGGTCATGAAAATGTCATAGTATGGTAAGCTAGCAAATTAAATAGTATAGTAAGGCACAAAAATGTCAAAAAACATCATTGTATAGTATGGCATAAAACGATGCTTTACTATACTATGACTTTTTTTGATATTGTTTGTTCCTTAAATTTAATTAAACTATTGTTCATATGATGCAATTACAAATACTATGAACATTTTTATGACTTTTGCCTTATATAACCATAGTTATTTGACGTTTTATGCCATACTATACATGACGTTTTGACTATTTTTATGGCTTTACTATACTTTGACGTTTTGATATTTTTTGTGCCTCTTAATATATAATTTGATTTGGATGCCTTACCATACTGATGACCATTAGTTATTGACTTATTATGTCCTTTATATAATATTATGTTTTTTTTTGACGTTTTATGCCATACTATACTATGACGAGTTTTTGTGATATTTTTATGCCTTAAATATTTCTATTCCTTTTGATGCCTTACCCATACTATGATGTTTTTATCACCTTTTTTGCCTTAATATACTATGGACGTTTTTGCGATACTTTTAAGCCATACTAACACTATGATCATTCAATTGGCATTTTAATGCTTATCTAATTATACTATGTCGTTTATCCTTAACATACTATGACATTTTTATGAGACCCTTTTATGCCTTAATATACCCATGATGTTATTTGGACGTTTGGCCAGTAACTATACTATAACGTCTTTTTAAGTGTTATGCCAACATTAGCTATGATGTTTTTTGGCATTTTGTGCCTTTTACTTATACTATTTAATTTGATGCTTAACGCATACTATGTATGCTTTGTTTATCACTTTTATACCTTTAATACATTGACACCTTTATTTAGACGCATTTATGCTTATGTATACATCAGGTTTTTTTTTTACGTTTTATGGCCCATATTATTACCATAGACGCTTTTTTTGGCATTTTTATGCCGCTACTATACAATTTCCTTTGATGGCCTTCACGCAACTATGACATTTGTTATGACCTTTTATGCCTTATATGGAATGATTATGTTTTACGTTTTTTGGCCATACACTATACTATGACGTTTTTTCGCGATACTTTTTAGCCATAGCTACGTATGACATTCAATTAGGCATTTTTATGCACTTGCGGATTACTATGTCGTTTTGATACGCCTTAACATACTATGAACATTTTTATGACCTTTTATGCCTAATATACTATGACGTTTTTTTTTAGCGTTTTATGCCATATTACTACAATGACGTTTTTTTATAATTTTTATGCCTACTATACTATTTCCTTTGATGACCTTACCATACTAATGACATTGTTATGACGTTTTATGCCTTAAATATAATATTATGATTTTTTGACATTTTATGCGCATACTATACTATGACGTTTCGATACTTTTTATGCCATACTACACTAGACATTATCATTGGCATTTTATGCCTTACTATACTATGTCGTTTTATCCCTTAACATACTATGACATTTTTATGACCTTTTATGCCTTAATATACCATGATGTTATTTGACGTTTTATGCCATATCTATACTATGACGTTTTTTGATATTTTTATGCTTTTCGTATACTTTGACGTTTTTTTATATTTTTGTGCCTTAATATACTGATTTCAGTTTGATTTGCCTTACACATACTATGACATTTTTATGACCGTTTAATGCCTTTATATAATATTATGTTTTTTTTGACGTTTTATGCCATTACTATACTATGACGTTTTTTTGATTTTTATGCCTTAATATTCTATTCATTTGATGCATTACGCCATACTATGATGTTTATCACCTTTTATGCCTTAATATTATCTATGATGTTTTTGACGTTGTTTAATACCATACTATACTATGACATTCATTGCATTTTTATGCCTTACTTATACTATTGTCGTTTTATCCCTTAACATACTATGACATTTTATGACCTTTTATGCCTTAATATACATGATATGTTCATTTTGACTTTTTATGTGGCCATATCTATACTATGACGTTTTTTTGATATTTTTTATGGCCATACCTATTACTATGATGTTTTTTTGGCATTTTGTGCCTTAAGCTATGACTATTTAATTTGATGCCTTACCATACTATGATGTTTTTATCACCTTTATGCTTTATATACTATGACTTTTTTATGACCGTTTATGCCTTATTATACTATGACGTTTTTGCGATACTTTTATGCCATACTTCAACTATGAATTCATTGGCATTTTATGCCTTGTTATACTATGTCCGTTTTATCCCTTAACAACTATGACATTTTATGACGTTTTATGCCTTATATATACATGATGTTATTTTGACTGTTTATGCCATACTTATACTATGACGTTTTTTTGATATTTTTATGCTTTTCTATACTTTGACCGTTTTTTATATTTTGTGCCTTAATACTACTATTTCTGTAGCCTGTACAGACTGATACATTGTTAATGACCCTTTATGCCTTTATAATAATATTTATGTTTTTTTGAGCGTTACTATAAACTCACTCCACGTCTTTTAGTTATGTTTTTCCTTCAATATTCTATTCAATTTGATGGCTTAGCCATACGAGAGTTTTTATCAACGCTTTCTATGCCTTAATATACTTATGAGTTATTTTTTGAGCGTTTTATACCCATATCTATATTGACGTTTTTTGATTATTTTTATGGCCTTA